AATATTTTGTTTTTGGTGTATTTTGTTTTGTTTTTAGTGCATTTTGTTTTGTTTTTGGTGTATTTTGTTTGGAAGTCGGTTTTGTTTTTTTTTAATTCTGTTAAAGAGTACGTATTAGTACATAATTAATTTATTTTAGCACGAGTTTAATAAATCGTGCGAGTCCAAAATGTCTTATAAAAATTCAAAATTATAATTTATTAATTAAAAAGGTGTAGTTCAGAATACTGCAAAGTAACAAACCATCTGATGCTATTTATCATATGCCGCCCACATTAAACGTCTTAGATAACTTTATTAATTAAACATCAGAAATTACATCACGAAACACAAAAGGAAGATTTTGCAATTCTGTGCAATGAAAAATCGAATAATATTTTCCTTTCTTTTAAAAATCACTCTGAAGTAAATTTATCGTACTGATTCGACAAAATGTTTTATTTCCTTGCATTAAATGGTTTTTAAAGTTTTGTTTAAACTTTAATACAACTTAACAAGCTAAGGGCCTGCCTATAACTACTTTTTTTTTATATCATCAGATTTTGATAATTTACTAATGTTTCCTTTAACCACTCCAACTAAGCTCGAGGCTTATGCTAAGATATGGTTCACGACAATAGTCGAATGGCGGGATTCGAACACTCGACCGCAAGATCGGCATTCCGTTCCCCAAACCTTTGGGCTATTGGAGCTTAAATCCTCGTGTAGTGTAAATTTGACACATATACAGAATTATACATAATACTATGTATATACATATGTTCGATATACACAAGTATTTATATTCTGTACATCACAATATGTTAATCATGCAATGCATAATTCCATATCTAATACCGATCAAGTGTCAAGTAAAATGTTTTACGTGAATTAAATCTTGTACCTTGCTGCAAATACACACTGTTAAACATAAAGACTTGTTGCATCGCCTTTTAAAAAAAATCAAATTACCAATTGAGTTTTTTTTTTTTAACTCATTTATCTAACTAAATGCAAAAGATACAAGTAAGTAAGAAATTGTTGTTTTGCAAGAGTGCTTCCGCAGTTATAATTCGTGTTTAAGGACCAGAATGCAAGGTGGTTTAACCTTTTTGCACTTATTACTGAGGAAAGGGAGCTAGTGGTCCTTGTAATAGAGAGCTATTACAATTGTTACCTTTGCAAGTTAAAGTACCTTTTATATGGGAGGGCAATAACGTTGGCAACTCCTGAAGGAACAATCACTTAAATTTATTTTCCCTTAAAATTAAATTATTCATTCGTGTTAGAATTCTTGTCTTATTTTAACGTAAATGTTTGCTAATTATGCTTTTTCTGAATCTGTTCTTAGCTGAATCTGTTTCCAAAATACATTTGTAGAAAATTATAGCCGGGAACTAAACAGCTTTCTCTTTCAAATTGGATACATCCGTCCCTCTTTCAGTTTCAGAGTAGGCGTTCATTCAGTCAGTTTCAGCTATCTGAATACTGTGGACGCGCTAAAAGTCTACACATTACGGGAATGTGCCCGCGGACGTGTGTTAAAAATTCATACGAACAATGTTACATTAAACGAATACTTGTTCTGAGATTCAACAATTTTAAATACGATGAAAGGGGTATAATAACTGTGCTCTTATTTAAGCTGCTTTTTATAAATATGAAGTGTTGTAAACTATGTGTTGATTGCTTAACTTAATAAATTATATTGTACATAGATATAATAACAATAAAACTCTGATATATCTCTAAAATGTTCCTAGTTAAAAAATGTGTTGTTTCCGTGCGGTATTGTGGTTTTAAGTGTGTATAAAGTTTGGAAATATTAAAATGAACGAAAAGGTAAATGATACGTTTAGCAACGTGGACTATTTAAAGGATTTGAATTTTAGTGTGAGTTTAATGAATGAAAGCTTGCGTTTCGACACCGAGTTGGATATTTTATTTCGTCCTGAGGGAGTGCTGATTGCACTCTACGTGCCAATTATCCTGCTCTCTCTGATTGCAAACATTCTACTCATCGTTGTCGCGATTAAATGCAACTATACCAAAAAGTAAGTTTTTTAAGTATAGTTATTTTAATAGTTTAGTTAATTAAAAATGTTTATTGAAGTTCTTTATTTTAACTCGTGTAATTTGTTTTAAAAAAGGAGTTGCTTAAGGGAATGAATTCAGATGTGACAGTTGATAGAGATGTATGGAAGTGCAGTACATACTGTGCCGACCCTCCATAGCGACAAGGTTGATGACATTTTAACAATGAATTTGTACAACTAAACACGTACAGCTGTAACACACATAACCTTGCATTTAAGAATGGTTATCGTTCGACATAATGTAGAATCTAAAATATTTATTTCATATTTCTTTGCAAAAACGTTGCCCTTGACATATTATTTCGTACAAGTAATTTTTTACGTTGCTCTTATTGCGAGTAAACGTAGCCGTTTTGCGCAAAAAGTCTCCGAGCAATTTTACAGAAGAGAAACACTTTGTAATGAGGCAAGTGTACATTAAACAAAGCGTTGTTTTAAGGCTTCATACAACAAAGCTTCGACACTATTATTTTGATGCTACTCGTAAAATGCCTTGTTATAATAAAGAAACGAACGTATGCTTCGACGGATATTAACTTAAGTAACTACAAAAGGACAACATAAAAACTCCGAGTGCAACTGGAATTCTATCTTATCATACAGTGGTGAAATTTGGCAATGAAATTAGGAAATATCATTTAATTATTTTAAAGATTAGTAATAAGAAATAATACTTAGTAGGATTAAAATATGTCAAGTTATAATAACTGTCCAAACTGATTCTTTACACTAAAAATGGAGTGATAACAGTCGTTCAAACATTTTACATGTCTATAAAAAATATGACCCCTTACTGTGGAGTAAACACACAAACTATGTTACATCAAATATTCGTTGTATTTGCCAAAACAGTTATGTTACAAATGCTAGCTATCAAGCAGTAATCCAAATATTACAGTGAAATGATTGAAAACCACTTCAGTGAACTTTTTTAGACTAACGGCCGAAAACGAATGGAATTGTATGTTATTATATATGCATCTTAAATTATAAGGCCACTAAATTGCAAATTCTACAATATTTTTGACCTCTCTCCCAAACCGTAACGAAACTTATTCGCAAGGAAATTAATAATGTTTTATTTTTTTATATTACGACAGATTTTCACATGAAAATAACACCGGATGCCGTCTAGTTGACTTCCGATCGTTGGGAAAAGAAAAACAAGTTATTACTTCGTATAAAAGTGTAGCTTTATTATGATTTAAGTTAATATGTTACGAATTAAATTATTAAATGTTTATTTGTAGGTACATTTCACTGACCAGTATATTTATCTTTAGAACAAAAAGTTTTAAAAAAATATCCTTAATCTCTTTACAAAAATATTCAAACCTTACTTTTGAATAAAAAAGCTTTATACTCAAAAAATAAGAAATATTTATAAAAACATAATCTAAATTCCTTAGTTCTTCAATTATGCCAAACTCACATTTAAATTATTACTGTTAAATGGTTTACTTTCTGGATAGGGCAAATTATCTATACTATTATAATAAAGCGTAAACACACACTTCTTTGTTGCCTAAGATGTCAGCAATTACAGCATGTTTTTGAATAATTCTTCTTTAAATAAAAAGCCCTACATTTACGTCACGCTTTAAGATGTATATTTTAACGCCATTAAACTTAGGGGGTAAATATTTTGGATAAAAACCCTAATGTGGGAAAGAGACCATTAGTTGCTGCCAACATCAAGGAAACAAGGTTGCCATGATTTGTCATCATGTCATGTCATTTTGACATTTGCAATTGATAATTTGACATATGTAAACCATATAACTAATAAAATTTTCATAATTTTACGCGGATGAAGTCGCACGGGAACAACTAGTATAAAAGTCAACACTAACAAGATACATTTTTAACATCACAAGACACATAATTTATACGTAACTAGCATTTTCAATGATTGATATACGAAGCGGGGCTGTATCACTGGTATACTTAATAAGTATCGGAAAAAAAAAACCTAAAAAATTACCCTGAGGGTTAATAATTACAGCTTTGAAGTGTTCGGTTTAAAAGTATTTCCCAATCAACCAAATCCTTTAATATTTTAATAGAATCATTGAAATTAATTACTTTTTTAACGTATCAAAAGCTAAAACATTTTAATTATTTCATTTGATCTCTTGTACTAACAAATCGGGTATAAATAATGTTTTCACATAAAACACACAAACAGAACAGGTGTAGGACGTCCAAATATATACAGAAATAAAGTTTGTTTATGAATCTTGTAACAAGAATTGAATATTGAATCTTATTAAAATATTATCGGCTGTCTGTTCTGGAAACTGACGATTTAATTATCTTTAACAAGCTTCTAATGTTACATTCATAACAATAGATTATTATATTCTATTAACTGTTAATTAATGGCAACCGATGAAAACTAAAGTATCTTGTAATTAAGCCTTTTCCATTGATATTAAGTACTGATTATAAATATGTAAGTTTAAATGGATGGATGTTTCCTCCATGTCGACTTAACAACTCACGCTTAACTTTGTTGTACATGTAGAGCACATAAGCTACTAATTGGACCTTTTTAAATTATCGCGGAGAGTCACGGGCAATTGCTAGTCTTATATAAATAGATACACGTAAAGGAGTAGCACACACTAACGCACAGTAAAGGAGTAAGGTGTTGCATTCAAGTTTCAGAAGTTAGGTAGGTTAAAGCTAATTTCCTTGCAAGTCGAGCGGCGCGTGTAACCGAGAGGTCGAGACGCTTATTTATTCGCGTGTTCAAGCAATATCGAGTTCCAGTTCAAATGGCTTTAACTCACAAGTACACTTTTATTAAACTAACCATAGTAAAGTGATACAATTTCTTAATCGTGTAAAATGCTTATTTTGTATTAGTCATGAGATATATTGGAAAGGAAGTGGTTACATAAACGTTATTCTTCTTTAAAATTGTTACTTTGTTCGTATTTAAATCAGACGATTCGATAACATGTTTCATAACACATAAATCACTACAAACGTTTTAATCGCGTTTGCATAATTTCACGGAAGTTACTGTCAAATGTAAACGATAGCTTATTCATAGATATTTGTTACAAAATGTTTATCTTGATGTCAATGAGTAGGAATAGTTGCCAGGTATAATCTGTTTGTTGGATGTTGGCCAACACAAGCTCGTTGATGCGAGCCCGCTCCCACCTTTGCCACGTGATACACTGTTAATTGACGATCATTGTAATTCATAATAACATGAACTAATTCATGTACAACTACAGTTATGTAGTGAAAACCTTGTTAATAAGCTTGAGGTTATTAAACTGGAATGAATTTGTAATATCTATGGTTTAATTGTAAATAACACTATACCCTTAATGTATTTCGCGGAGAAGTGTGCTAATTACTATTGTGAGTAAATACGTTGATACGTATAGTTAATATATGGGTACATATGTCTACGATTTGATGTATGTAATGTGGTCACCGTGTATGAACAAGAATGCTCTACAAAGCAAGATCACTGCTCAATAACTAGAATGTAAACAGGACAGTATTCTATAACTTACTCTGTGAATTCGCTTGTCTAATTCATAAAAATTATAATCTTTCATGAATAAAAAGCATTTATCGTAATATTATTGGAAAACTGTTTACTACCGCTGAATTATACTGAAAATTAAATAAAAACCCTGTTGATAACAAAAATAGTCTTTTATTACGTCATTTTAAATTCTTGTTAGTGTTTTGTTTTATTTAAGGATTGCCTTGTTCTAAAAATTTGGAGTTAAACTCCGAATATCTTAAAGATAAGACAAAAAAAAGAATGTTTATCTTTTAAAAAAAATGTCACGTAGCCTCGAAATTTCTCAGTTCTTCTGCGTTCTGTTTCGCTTCGTGAAATTAAAAAATGGAACAACATATTTCGCTTTTGTGACGCATTGTTAAGCTTGTAATGTGACGTCACTAATTACGTCAGACCGAAAACCGTGTAGTTTCCCTTTATCTTCTTGTTCGAGTAAGAACGCTATTATTGTTCTCTTGACGTACTTTGTCCCGCGGACATTTTTGTCGTAAATAAAAAATACCTACAATTTCCAAATTCAATTAATTTCGTTTGTTTATACAAGGGCTTATCTAAACATAAAGGCGAGCGTCCAGTACCTCATTTCTTTATTTTGCATATTTGTAGCGATATTTAGTTTTTAAAACACATAAAAGCTTTCTATTTTTAACCCTCTCATCGAACAATAAACAGCGAAAGATTATTCAAATCAGTATTTTGTAGGGACGTTCCTCTATCAAAACGGTAAGAAAGACACATTTCTATTGAATAAGACGAATCCCTACGTGTGGACTGAACTTACTGAAGCACGTAATACACAAAATGTCAATCACAACACTGTTCAAACATCCGGACCGTCCAATTCGTTATCCACAAATTGTGGAAACGGAAACTAGTCTACGTGACGAAGAATGATGGCTTCAACTTCGAATTTACAGTTACGTTTTCTACAAACAAATGGGACTACATGAGTCAGAATACTGCAGATTCATTTTTTTTATTTAATTCTAAAATTAAAACTGAAAATATCAAATAAAAAATGTAGATAATAATCTTTTGTAATTTCAATCAGACCCTTTCACTATTATTAACAAACAAGAGTCTGTTAGTAAGGGTATAGAATAACAGGTGGGTGTGCGCTATTTTAAAAGCTTTGTAAGTTCTAATGTTTCAATCTATCGCCTTTAATAAGGTCTATTAGTCCATTAAATTAATTACACCAAACAAATCTAGTTTTAAAATTATACGATGCGATACTCGCAGGAAAATATAATGACATTAGATAAAGAAATGTTGGGAGACAGTCGATAAATAGAACGTGTCCATTATCCGTCCCTGCGACTAAAATAAAGGACCGATCAAGGAGATTATAGCCCTAGATGCTTATGGAAGACATTATATTGACACTTCATAGATTGTAGATATCCAATACGAGATAATGCGGTATGTAATGAAGTGCTACGCCGATAAAATTAGTTTATTTTACCCTTTCTGCAGTATTCGATCGAACAGTTGTATTAGAATTACAAACTGTCATAATTAACTTGCTCTTGTTCCTACAGAGGAATTGTACAGTGCTGCTCTTCCATACATCTCTATCTGCCGTCATATCTGAAGCCATATCCATCATACCGTATCATTTCGTCATATCTTAAGCATGTACTTCAGGGAGTGAAAAGGATGTACATCTTACATACAATCCATCCATACTTCAGTCCTCAACCTTTGTATCTATGCACATTAATCCTAGAATAAAAAAATATATTAATTTAATTTAGGTTAATATAGAACCTGTTGGGTTGGAAGGATTTACCCTAAAGCATGTAGGCATCGCTTTCATACTTCAATGAATATCACAGACAATAGAAACATCAATTCAATGCGATCTATGTATTGCCGGATTTCCTGTTCCGGTGCCATTTCCAATACCATTTAGATATATTACAATAGAAGCTCATACATTACCTTATATGAAAATACTTCGCTTCAAAAAAAATGAACATCAATATTTGAATCTTATACTTGTATCATCAAACACCTCAATGTCTATAGAACGCTTGACGTTGATTGACGAGCCGAGTTTTAGTGAAAGAAAAAAATACAATGATTAAAAATTTTAATACCCAAATAGACATTCATATTCCAAATAACAGAAATAGATTTCTTGTTTTAAATTAACCATAATAAGTTGAATTTATTTTTTCGGATAAAAATTTTTATTTATTAATTCGAGGTAAATAATAACAGATGAGTAAACAATAATTTTATAACCCTATCTCTTTTTTCAAGTCATTGTTTATCTAATTAATAATGTATTTTCTTTGTCGCGCCTTTTCGTTTAATTTCAGGTAATTACTGGCGCAGTAACTAATGAGATGGCTCTAAGGGTCGTCTACATCTGCCGCGTTATTATGGAGATTATACTCTAACCCTTGAAATTATTCACCTTAATTCCTTATTATACTAAAATTTATATTAAAAATGGAAATGGTTATTACAAATATCCTTATTAATTAGTTTATTTCAATGTAGTTTCTCTGTATTTCTCTATAATAGTGTCGCGATGTCATCTATTGATGAGCAGCGGAATTCTTATCTACGGAATAATCGAGTTGTACCCAGAATTTTCCATCGCAAAGCCATCTGATGGCCAGTAACGAAATTAAAATTGGTCGAATAATCGATGTGTTTCCAGAATGTTCTATCGCAACGACATCTGATTGAGAGTAGCGAAATTATTATTCTTGGAATAGTCGATCTGTTTCCAGAATGTTCTATCGCAACGACAACGACATCTGTTGGCCAGTAGCGTAAAAGACATTCAGATGTCTGGAATACTCGAAGCGGCATCGAGAATGTTCCATTGAATAATTGTATGATTCTAATAACCGAAAATGTAGTAGAATAAAATGACAAAAGAATAACGAAAAGAAGATCGAAATGAAATGAAAGTTTTGGTGTTAGAGCGGGCGCACACTTAAACAATCGCACACAACTGTTGTACGATTGTCGTTTGTTTCGCAGCCCATTCAAATGTTTAGCTGTACAATTAAAAATCCAGTAGTGTGCGCACCTCCAAATAAGCTCATAGGGATCAAAGCGAGACTAAACAGTCTTGCGATAATTCAGTCAAAAGCGCGTGCGCGCTTATATTGTCAGTAGTGTTTTGTGAAGTGCTCAGCGTTAGTGAATATGTGTGTGTGTCATGTAATGTTAAAGCAATATTGTGAGTGTGCGGTGATTCCCTGTTGCTGTGATTCGGGAATAAATTAGGGTAGAATTATCAAAGTTTTTTAACTCTTTTATCGCAACGCTCGAAAGAAGAGACTAACCTCATATAATAATATTATAATAATATAATATTTAACATTGTTATTGATCCGTTCTACTGACCGAACCTTTACGATTAAAGTCATTCAAGAAAATATCATTTTTCACTTATAATACTAACAATATAAGTGTATAGTATGGAATCGTGAGCAATGTTTACCTTTCTATTGTGACTGAACATAGCGTAAACGGCTTAACCATTTTGAAGTGTTCTTTCCCGGAATGTTATACGATAAAATCCTCTGAGCTTTTCGCTGACTTGATTTCATTGCTAGTTATTTATTTAATTTTATAGCTATGTTTTCTTTGTTACAGTGTGACTAACATATTCCTCGTCAATTTGTCTGCGGCCGACCTTCTGGTGACTAGTATCTGCATGCCCATACAGCTCAGCAAAGCCATCACTTTGGTTTGGTTCTATGGAGACACAGTTTGCAAAATTGTCAATTATATTCAAGGTAAGTTTTACATTAATTTCCTTAATTTTTCTCAAAGTTCTGCTGAACTTTAAATGCAGGCATTACAAATTCATTAAAGTTTATTTTAAGGATTCAACATGTTCTTGGAATTTCAATTTCGGAATTAATTCATTTTATAACATTAAAAATTTTTATGTAAGCAGATTTAATTACAGGATTATGTATTAAATGTTGGCTGAATTCACCGAAAATTTCAGATCCACGATCGCACTGCAGGTTATTCAGAACTCGAATTCCATAAACTTTTACATAGACTTTTAAAAAAATGCTCGCTTCTACCCAGTAAAGCTCGTGAGAAAACTCACTAATTGCATACTTCAATAATTAATTCACGTAATGATGAATAAAAAAGCTTTCAATGTAAACATTATGGAGGTTTTTTCACAATGTATTGTTCTAGATTTATTTGTTACTTTTGACTTCTTCTGCTTCTTAAGGTGCCTCCCCGACTGGCGAAGGTTGGCGGTCAGTTCTCCAAATTTTACTCTACCTCTTTTCTCTATCTACTTTTGACTAGAAGAAAGTAATATGGAACTTGGTTCTAACACCACACACACCATGTTGTAAACATGGAGAAAAAGAAAAAGTGATTACTCAGTTTGCCACAGAGTAGAAAAGAAGCTGTTTGTTCCAGGGGTAGCAGTAGCGGCGAGCGTGTTCACGCTGACCGCGATGTCCGTGGACCGGTGGCTGTCGATAGCGCCGGAGCCGCGGCTGCGGCCGCCGGGGCGGCGCCAGGCGCTGCTGCTGCTGGGCCTGCTGTGGGCCGCAGCCATGCTCATGTTCATCCCGCTGCTCGTCGTCGCCACCGTCAGGAAGGAGGCTGTGCCCATCATATCTAAAGCGGCCAATAACATATCTGTGTGTATTTGTAGAATTGTGTTCTTCCAATACAACAGTGTACAAATCTCAACGTATAAAAGCTCAGTCCAATTTGTGAAGGACTTTCAACTGCAGTTGATGTTATGTTTATAACCGAAAATAAATTCAACTAGAAATTTAAGATTTTAGCACTAAAAATGTATATGAAATAAAGGACAGTAATAAATTCCATTCTAAGAATTACAACTAGAATAAAACATTAAACTATGTTTCTTCGCTAAACCTACTGACCTATGTCAAAAATTATCGAAGACGTGCGAAATCCTCCAATCGGTGTTAAAGCTGTGTCTGGAATTAGCTCCGACAATGAAAAATGACCCAAATGTGTATTTGTGGGTTGATGTCTAGACTAGAATGTTGCTAATTTAGCAGACATTGTCTAGACCGAACTAAAATAGACAAGCATGTTATTGGTGATAAGTTTCTCAGACATTAACTGATTGCTTTCCTTGAAAAGAGGCGAAGTAGGACGTAAGAATTAATATTTAAATATACCTTTGTTAACATTTAGTGTTTATCTACTGAACTTTTACTATGTTTCCTATTAACACTTAACTGTTTCTAGATAGAAACGAGAGACGTCCACTTTTGCACAGAAGAATGGACGGGACCGGAGACAAGGAAAAAATTTGGAACATTCAGTTTCACACTGGTGTATGCCATACCAGGTGCGTTAATAGACACAAACTGAAATTTGTATTTAGCCCAGTAAATGTACTAATTACGGCAATTCAATCAAATGCAAGCCAATTATGTGTGCTTGAAATTGACAGATGAATAATAGCTATGTCTGATAAATTCTACACAACGCTACACGCTTTTTATTTGTTGGTAGCATATTTTTCACAAAACTTTTACGTCATAGGATCAATTACGATATTGTCGTACGCGTGCATGGGCCGCACGCTCTGCTCCGTGCGACCTCCCTTTGACATCGACGAGGGCAATGTCAGCATGCAACAGGTAACGAAAATGTTTTTACACATTTTATTTTAAGCGTTATACTAACTTGTACGTACAATGTATTGTACTATTGACATCCTACGGCCTACTGAAAGTACTAAAAAACAGACCATTCGGTAACATTGAGTTTACCCAAAGCCTACTCAATTCGTTATCAAAAAGGTCAAAGGTCACATTGGCAAAAATAGATCGTCGGACAAATAGAAGTGATACGTTAAATTATTATTTGCAGAGGTCACAACATTTGCGGTCCCTTTGAAGTAGTCCCACCCTTTAATATTTGTGTTTTATATTCACAAAATATACTCATCGTTTCTATATACAAAGAGAATATTCATACATGAAACTACTATTTAAATATACCAATATTCATAATTTATTAGGGATGACTGAATAATATCTAGACGATTTGTTGTAAATGTAAATATATAGTAAGTTTTTTAAATCCCGTAACTTCATAAATGTAACGTTTCTGTAACTAAATACCAAGTAACTGATTGCTCGTTTGCTACCTTTTGGTATATAAATTGTTTAGAGCTGTTCCACAACTGAGTGCAAGTGACGCACATTGGGCTGGATCCAGTTGCTCCATAGACAACTTTATCTGATGTTTGAAATGTTTCTTTTTTTTGCTTGAATGTGCTTTGTATCAG